ATTGAACATTAGATTTGGCAACATGCAGGTCACTGGTGACCATGACAAAGCAGTTTCATTGGTGTGGTGTAGATGACAACCCCATTACTATGGATTGGGGCAAGATTGGAAGCTACTATTACTAAACCTTTACCCTGAGCTCCTCAATCTTCACAACAGCCAAGGGAGGTAGGTACTATTTCTTACATTCATTTTACATATGGGGAAAGGAAGTTTGGAGAAAGTTGAGTAATGTTCCTGACATTACTCAGCTGATGAAAGGCAGACCATAGATTTGGACCCAAGAAGTCTGGCTCTAGAGCCCATGGCCTATGCACTACACTCTTCTGCTTTGGTGGATGGCAGAGAAAGTCAAAAGGTGGGGGTACTTGAACTGGCCAGCCCCCTGGACTTGCCAGAGGGAAAGCCCAAACCTCTGAGGGATGGTACCAGTTACTTGGGACGTGGGATGGAGACTAACCCAGCTGACTCCAGAGCAGCCTCCTCCAAGAACAGATCATCATTTGGCTATGGCCTTGGTTTGGTACAGAGATATAGGGAGATGGCAGGAAAATGAAAGGAATTCCATCCTTACAGTCCTCAGGGGATCCATCCTAGTATTTCTTCCTTCACTCACCTCAGCCATTCCTCTCCGGTGTCCTGTTTGCTAAGTTAACCTTCCAATGGACAGAGGCCTAACTGGGGAGCAGGCCAAGGGCTGCTCTCCCCTTCCACTTACCCCAGTTACTTCCATTCCCACCCACAACCAACCCCCTACCCTAGGAGATTCACATGGAAGTGCAGGTGCCCTCTGTACATAGCTGAAGGCTTCAGTCTTCCAAACGTCCCCCAGAAGTAGTGAGGATAAAGAAAAAGCTGAAGTTCTGTTCTTGAGCTTACCATATGGTGTGACTGCCAGAGCAGCCTTACCCATATCAGATTTGAAAGTCCTAGGACAAGACCCCTTCATCCCTCTCTTCTGCACCCAGTGTCTGAAAGCCACCATTAAAGATGCATTCCTTGGAACATCACTGCAATGAATAGCAGATTAGATGTAAATGAATAAGATCATTAGACCTTGGCAGTAGGAAAGGAACAGTTTTGGAGGACTGGGACTGGGGATGGCAGGGGGAAGCTTGGAACAGGACGGGGAAAAAATGAGATAAATACCAACCCCATAGTTTTGCCAAGGGCTGATCATGACCACAGTGCCCCTAGAGGAATGGCCCCACAAGAAGAGGAGCAAAATTAACATGCCCCGTGTCTCCATTCTTTCTCCACCAGGCCTGCTGGAGCAGCAACCCTACTAGATCACATCTAGATCCGAAAAAGAGCCAAGGGGAGGCCCCCTGTCCTTGCAGGGACCTGAAGTGTTTTCATAAATGGACATTTCGTAGGTCAGGTATGTGGGAATTTGGCAAATTCACGCTTAAATCCAGTCGTTCATGGCTCCCCTAGTCCTCCCCACGGTTCCAAGAGCATCTGACAGCAAGACTAGGATGTGACTTGAGAAGCTGTGGGAAGTTGCGTACATTCCTTCCCCAAGCACCTTCCCCAACACACATAAACATTTCAAGATCTCTCTCCAACGAGAGTCCACTGAAATCCACAACCAGAGATTCTTTCCTTGGGTTTCACCTTTACTTTGTCCTGAGCGATCTATTATAAAATGTGAATACCCCTGGAGAGGGAGTCATCTGAAGCAATGACTAAGCCCGACTGCTTCTATATAACGTAACTTAGCTGCTTGCCTTTTTCTCTGACTTAAAAGAGCACTGTGGCACAACAACGTGAATGTACCTAACACTACTGAACTGCACACTTTTTAAAATGGCTAAGATGGTGAATTTTATGCTATGTGTATTTTTTACTACAGTTTTTAAAAAAAAACGCATCTGAGGTATCCCCTTGTCTGCTCTGACTGCACCCTCTTCAGATAAAGAGGCCCAGGTCACAGCTTTTACCAAGACCCTGCTTCCCTCAAAACACAGCTGATGGGAGACTGGTGGGGTCACCTGGTCCCATGCTCGGAGATCTACCACAGCAAGCAGGGTTGCCTTAATCACATTATTTGTCTTCCTGGACAGGCTATAGGTTATGTTAAGTAACCAAAGGAGCTGAAAACTGACCTCCCATCCAACTTCTTCTCCCAAAGCCATTTTGGTGTGTGGTTCAAGTTCACCTAGGGTTGGCTCTTGACCACTCTAATCTATTCATTCTTGGTGGTCCTCAGTCATGTTCCCTTACCTTCACAGAACATTCTAGATAGCTCTTCTTCCTATCTCCCTCATGAAGCCTACAGCCCGTGATTCTTTCCCTTAATTCTCCTCTCTTATGCACTCTCTCAATCCCTGACCTGTGTCTTCAAAGTCTGGACTCCAGTCCCGGTGGAGCCCTGAAAATACAGTATTATTGTCATATTTTATTTAAAGGGCACTGCAGGCCTACGGGTAAAGGGTAGTGGGGTAGGATGGTGAGGCAGTTATGCACAGATACCTAGTCGTCCAAGATTCTGAGAACAGGGGAGACAGGCTCAGAAATCTGGCAGCTAGTGGCCAAACCTCTGCAATCCCCTTCTTTGAACAATAATAGTAGACTCTACATAGTAGAGAATTTTCTCTTCCCCCACACAACTGCCCAAGGGTACGCCCCCAAGGAAGGAAAAGGAAAATATAAACTTAACACCTTCTACTACTAGAGCTGCTGTCTTTCTCCTAGCCCTGTCCCATGTGTTAGCTCACTTGATCCTCAAATCCCCACAGCTGTGGAGACGGGCCCAGAGAGGTTAAGCAGCTCACCCTGAGAAACAAAGCCCGTTAACTGGCAAAGCCGGGGCTGGACTGTTCTCTTGCTTCTGGTCCTGTGTTCTGTCCACAACACCACAGTGCGTTTGCTCTAGCCGCGAGGCAAGATTGTTTGGAAAGCAGCCCAGTCCCTTTTCTCTTTGTTGATACAAGTCATGTGAAGATCTCTGGTTTCTGAAAGAGGTGGCAAATTGAAAAGAAGATGGTAACTACGAACAAATGAACGACCTCATTTATATCCCTCTAGAAAAATGAATCAACAACACAGAATTGTGTCTGTAATGGAAGGGAAGCTTCTGTTTATTTTTGCACTGTCGGTGAATACTTCCAGACATTGGAACTCAAAATATCTCCCAGTCCCGCTGTGTTGAAAGCCTCAAGTTACGCGTAAGGAAGCATAGGTCTTCTTCATTCTTACTATGGAGAAAGATCTGAACTTGAACTGAAACACGACCTGTTTACACAGAAAGGAGAAAGAGACCACTGGGTGGGTTGAAAGAAGAATCATTCTAATTATTAGAATCACATTAAGGAGAAGGGCAACATTTTCCCAGTTTGTACGGTCAGCTGGTGCTATTCAGGAATACATTATCAAAACGGAGGGTTGGCCAAGCCCCTAGTTTTTCATTTTTCTCTCTATCTTTTGCTGACCACAATCTGATCACTTCAGTGCTGTTGACACTCCCACTGGTTGGTAGAGTGTCCAGACTTCTGGGAAACTTCATTATCTGGGACACAGTTGCAACCCTGAAAGTCTCGAAAAAAACAACTGGGCAGTAAAGCAAATCTCTCTGCCCAGGCCACTTCACTTTTCTCACTGGGAGAGTTCTGTAGCTACTCTCGCTTTATGTTCCTAATGGCTACCCTAATCATCATAAAAAGGTTAAAATGTTTTTAACAGCAGGAATATTTTGGCAATGGGATTTGTTTCCCGCAGCTGACACATTAATGTTTATTGTAGGCATTGTCCCAGCTGCTCCCAGCTCTCTTTTATTCTTTATTTTTCTGGCAATATATTTTTTTAAATGTCTGTGAAAAAATGGTACAGATGTTTATAAAGTTTCAACAACTAAAGCACTGATTATGCTTCATTATCAGAACAACATCGTGTCCCCAGTTATGCCAGATAAATGAGGGACATTGTTATACTTGAAATACAAGGCTGGGGACTGAGCCCGCACATCCCCCTGGCACGGCCGGATATCTGTGCCTTCCCTCCACATCCCACTCAGTCCTCCCTGCCTGGCCCTGAGATGGCTCTCACAGCTTCCCCTCTCTTCCTGTCACCATCTTGGACTGCTGCCTAATCCCTGGCCCCACCTGCAAGGAGAAGGGGTGACTTTAGGGCTGGAACTAGGACTGGAGAGGAGCCAATGGGGCCAGGCCAGTATATCTTCAAGGAGTGAATCTTGGGAATGAAAGTAAGTTCATTTAACTTATTAATAGCTCCGGTAAAATACCAGATGGGCTACAAGGTCAAAACCAATGCCTTGAATGAAGCTTGTGTAATATCAATGCATTAAAGTGACCCATAATATCTTTGTCCTGCTATTACTGAGAAACCAGCTGGCATTAAGCAAGTTGACTTAATGATAAGAGGTGATTTTATGTGTGTTTGATGAACCCAAATAGCCATCATCAGGTATGAGCATTTAAGCCCTAAGTAGGCAAGTTTCTCATGACCTTCTTGAGACGAGGAGAATAAACATACACCTCTAACTTTACCCATCATTGGTTAAGACTGTTTAATTCAAGCGCTTTCCCTCTGACTTAAGATTTACACTATTTTATGGCTTTTTCTCTTTAATAAGCCACTTCTTTGAGAGAGTTACAAAGGTGGCTTCTACAAATTAACTTTGACAATAGCTAATAGTGATGGGTATGAGAGGGGTTTTTTGTATGTATCCTGAAAAACAACAAAATGAAAGTGGGGAATCCTCATTTAGCATTGTGATATTTGGAAGTGCTTCAGAATTAAGGGAAAAGAAGAGAAGGAACAAAGCAGTCATAACTTTTGAAACACTTGAAAAAACAACACATTTAGCCATATAAACATTTTCTTCACCCACAATGACATCTACTGCATTGGAACTGGATATACAGATATCACAACAACCCAACTCCTGAATCGAAACAGCATTTCCAAAAGCAAAAAGGATTCCTTCTCTATATAGTCCTGGGTCTCAAGGCTGGGATCTTTGAGAAAAGAGTCTTAGGTTATTGTTTAAACAACCTTTATTACCTGCCTCTGACATTCCCCAGGTTACAGAGGAGGGGACATCTAAGCCTCACGTTCCATGGATGAAGCAGACAGCTGCCATAACAACTGAATCAACATAGGAGAGGCATTTGGAAGTATTGGGGTGACGCACCCAGCAATGTTTACCCATGGCAGAAGATGGCAAAGCTACTAAAAATCAGGCAAGTTACCTTTGGGATGACAAGTGGATGCAACAAAACCATACAGAAGGGGTCATAGGTCTTCCCTCCTCTTTGAGTCCCCCGCCCCTTTCAGTCCCCATTAAGTCCATTCTATCCCACAGACTGGTCCTAGTGTCCTGCTAGCTCCCTTCTGAAAGAGGAAGGGAGGGAGGGAGGGAGGGAAAAGATGTCTGAGGTCTCTTCATTTCCTTTGTCTCTGTCCCTAAGGCGACAGGAAGCTGGAGTTGCTGCAGCCAGCCTGGCAGTGATGGCAAGCCCGTTGGCTCTGTAGAGTGAGCAGTCCCTGGCAGTCCCTGGAGCAGCTGCCAGTTAGACGGCCCAGAGTTCTGATAGACTTCATTGCTTCAGTTCATTGCCAAGTGTTCGACGTGTTGGATTCAGTTCCCAGAGGGCTGGAGCGTGGTGCCAGGGCTGTCTGCAGACAAGAGAGCAGAAGCAGTTTAGTGCAGTTGGATGTGTGGGATGGGTGTGGAGGCATGGGGGAAGAGGAGGGAGAGGAGGGAGAAAGTGGCCAGGACGTGTGGTGCTTCTTCGAGGGCCTTGGAAGGTCTCCTGGCCTCTCATCATTGTCTGGGCCTCAGGTGAGGCAAACCCTGGAAGGGGAGGAAAGGAAAAGGCGGGCGCCACGCCCAGGGACAAGCGAGACGAGGAGGGCGCAGCGAGCGAGCAAGCAAGCAAGCTGGGGCTGTGGTTCTAAACCCCGACGGTGCCTGGGGTGAGGGCGGGCAGCCCCCCAGGGGCGAGGCGGCGGCCCTCGGCCGGCGAGCCGGCGGCAGTCTCGGCGTCGGTGGCGGCCGCTGCGCCACCCGCGGCCCACTCGTGCTCGGTGCAGGCCTGGGAAGGCTCGTCCTTGGCCTCGATGAGTTTGCGGGAGCGGGTGTAGGCCAGGATGAGGCCACCGGCCAGGCAGGCGTAGAAGATCATGATGAGCAGGATGTAGAGATAGGCGTCGTCGCCCTTGGCGCTGGTCACTTCGCGGCCCACGAAGGGATCAGGAACGACCCCCATGCCCATGCTCGGGCCGGGGCCGGGGTCCAGGCCGCTGGCGTTGCCCCGGTGGTGCAGCTCTAGCAGCAGGCGGCTCAGGAGGGTTCGCAGCCGCTGGCTCTCGCTGCAGTTCATGGCTGTCGGGGAGTGACACGGCGGCTCCAGGACGCTGCTGACCTTTCCCCCTGAGCGAGGGGAAGCAAGTGAGCGTTGGCGGCGGCACCCAGCTCTCGGGCGGGAAGCGCAGTGGCTGGGGGCGCCCGCCGCCCGGGCCTCCTTATCCCCTCATCCACGCCCCTCCTCCCCTTCCCCATCACGCCCCCTCCGGCCCGAAGCCGCCACTTCCCAGGCTCCGGCTGTCTCGCTGCTCTGGGCAAAGGGGACAGCTGGTGGGGGGAGGAGAAGGGGACAAGGGAGGGGGCGAGGCCGAGAGAGGGGCGGAGGGAGCGGGGGCGCGGAATGCGCGAGGCCCCAGGCAGCAGAGGCTGGCAGGGTAGCTTGCTGGGGCCAAGCCTGGACCCTGGGCTGCGGAAGAGAATTCCTTCCAAGTTCTGGCGACCTGCCCTGCAGGCGGAGCTTTGGCCCAGATACAGCATCTGGTCCCCCAAGGCAGGCCCTGTCCCGGGGTTCCGTCAGCTCTTCAGTAACGAAGCAGCCAAGACCGCTCGTCCACATCTTATGGCAATTATTCTCATGAACAAGGACCCTGGCCTATCTTTCTAGCCCTCATTCCTTCCCCTGCCCGAGAAGAGCATCTTACTCAGAAGATGCTCAGGCAAAATTTGGTGACTGAATGGTCCGGCACTTGCAAGAAGACCAAAGCAGAGTAGGACTCTGGTCTTCCAAAGTTTTCTGATAATATCAGCCTCCTTGGAAGTACCCCTGCTCTGATCACCTATCACATTTTTAGAGGGGTCCGCATGTCCTAGCATGTGAGTGTACCATCCATGGTGTGACCCTGTTTCCCCTAGGTAAGCTATCTTCCTAGAAATGAGACCAAGTTCTTCCATTAAAAGGAGCAGGGACATTAAAAAGGCCCCTTGGTGATACTCTCTAGATGTCTCGGGATCTGAAAAGCGTCAGTTCTAGAAAATATGCTCACCACCCCCACACTCAGCCCCTCCCCCCACCCCCAGTCCTGGTCCCTGTGAAACATCCAGTTAAGCCAAAACCCAGCTCTGAATCTCTCCAGGGCTTGGTAACAGATCTAGGCCCTGCCGGCTTGTGAGGCAGCCATTTTTTCCCCAGAGGGTATCTTCTTTTAGGGGAAAACAAGGCACTAAGACAAAAATCAGTCCAAAGTATGTTAAACTGGACACAGACTGGGCATCACAAAGGAAAAGTGCTCAAAGGACTGATTTGTAGAGTGAGTAGAAAACAAATGAAGTAGTGCTGGTCAGGTCTGGTTGTATATGGTTGCCAAGTGAGCATAGAAGGAATGAAAGAAAAGTATATGCCCTTATGCACACCTTGAAAATCAAGCTGCCTGTTCAAGAGCATCCAGTCCAGGGGCCATTCAGTCTGCAGGTGTTATCGTTTAAAAAAGAAAGGTTTTCTGGTACTTCTGCCCCAGCCACCCTTCAGCCCACCATCCACTCAGGGGCTGCAGCCTTCTATGTGTTGGGATGAGGTTGGTACCAAACTATATCCAGAGTCTCAAAAAGAGCCTAACTTAACAGCCTCTACACAGGTCTCAGAGACATTCCACGTGAACCTGACCACTGGCTCCCTCTTAGTCACTTTGCCTCAATGTCCTCAGCTCAGAGAGGCTCAGAGAATAATTGTTAAAATGACTTGGCACGACTAATGCCGGAGGACACAGCTAGGGAATTCTCAAAGCAAAACCAACCTAGGGACAGCACTGTTAAGTTAAAAGATTCCTATCTGTTAAAACATGCCCAGAAATCTCTAGGGTTTTTTTGGGCCAGGGAGGGGGGCGGGTGGAGAAGAATCCCCTTCACCATAGCATAAAAATAATCACTTAAACTTCTACTTTCAATGGTCTTATGAGCTAGTAGGATTATTCCTGTTTTCAGAAGAGAAAACAAGTTCAAGTGGTTAGGTGGCAGGACTAGAATGATGAAGTTTGACCTTGTTCTTCTCAGTCCTGACAGCCACTCTTGTCACATGGGTGGTGTCCATGAGCTGCCTCCATTTCCCCAACTCTCCCTTCCCTGGAACCTTCCACAGTGCAGCATTTTCTGCCAAAACCGCTCTCTGTATATAAGTTCACCAATGACCTCCTGGCCAAATTCAAGTGTCTCTGCTCAGTTTGCATCTTTGCCCTCGAGGACGCATTTGATACCATCAACCACCCACTCCTTCCTGTAACTGTCCTACCCTTGGCTCTCATGGCATTACATTCTCAAGTTTCTCTTCTTATCTCTCTGACCCATCATATTCTGTCTCCTTTGTTGGCTCCTCTTCTTTCCTGCTCCCATTAACCATTGGAATCCCCAAAGACTCAATCCTCACTATTTTCCTTAACATCCATTTCCTTAGAAAATGTCTTTTCATATGGTTTCACCTACAACCTGGCATATATTTGGCCACATTTGAATCTCTAGTTCTGATTCTTTGTTGATAACATCTCTCAGAGCCATTCACTCCTTCCCTTCTGGTTTTGTTACTACAAGCTTCATCCAAGCTCTCGTTACTTCCGGTCAAATATGCAAACTGCAGTCTCCTGGCAGATCTCCCTGCCTACAACCCAACCCGCCCTGCTGTGGCTAGAATAATTCTCCTTTAACTCCACTTCCATCAGTTCACTCCAATGTTCAAACACCCAGAGTTTCTCCACATTGCTTCTTTAATAGAGTCCAATCTTCTTTGGTGGGCCTTAAGTCCTCACCACCAATAGACACCATCTCCTCACCTTTGCACTTAAAAAACAGCATATTGCCAGAGTTGCTCTCCAATACTCTGTGCCTTTCGCCTTCCTCAAAATCCACGGACTGAAGGAAGCCTTGCTTGATACCCCTGTTTGTGCTCTCAGAGTCTTTACAATGCACCCCTCCTGGTGGTGCCCTAACTCAGACTGCAGCATTCAATACAGGAAATTTGAAAAACACCAAGAAAAAGATTACCAATAGCACACACACATCCTGCACACACACACGCACACACATGCACCACACATCATTGTTTTGTTGCCTTTTCACTTAACAACGTATTGTGAATTTTCTCCGTGTCAATTACTATTTTTTATAACATCATTTTATTGTCTACACAGTATTCCAGACTATGGATCTACTATTATATATTCAAATTAGCTCTTATTGTAAGATTTCTGGTTATTTCCAGGTTTTTGCTATTAAAAATAATGTTTTAATGAATACATACAAAGCTAATTCTAATTCCATTAAATGAAATAATTGCCAGAGAGAAGGCAAATTACTTATTTACAGAAGACTGGCATGGGGAGCAGGAGATGTGTAGAAAGGGGTGGAAACAGGAATGGAGAATAGTCATACCATTTAAAAAGGCCCAACCCTCAGAAAAAAACAACAGGTGTGTGTGGGGAGACTCTGGCTTTCTTTTCACTCAAGGGGCTGCTGGGCATCCCTTCAAATCCCAGTCCCAGGCCAGCCCTGAATGGCTGGGATGCCAACCCCTTTCCCCACCACACTAATGAAACTGCAAATCCATCAGACAGGGATTAGGCCTCATTCCTCCTCACCCTTCCACCCCCCTTCTACACCTGCCCCATACCTGTCAAATAATCATCTGTTTATCCATCGTCCAGAACTCACTTATTTCCTGAATGGTAATCAAGCGTGTTAACAAAGGGAAGTAGTTTATAATCATGTGTTTAGACTTTCAAAAAGCCTTGGAAAAGGTTCTGTTGCATGCCAAGGTTGTTTTAAAAGTACAATGGAGGCGCCATGGGCTAGGAAATGCTCTCGGCCATTCCTTGAGACTGTGAGTGCTTCCTGCCAATAGTACAGCTCCATGGAAGTTAAATGAATTGAACTGAGTTGAGTTTGGCTAGTTACCAAAGGACGGGCACAGATGGTAAACACTGTTGGAGGCCAGGAGGCTGGCAAAGCCACAATGGGCTCTGAGGGAGGGGAGGAAAGAAGGCTTCATGAAGCACCAACTACAGACCAAGAAAGAATCATTCTTTCATTCATTTATTCAACAAATATTTATTACATGTTACACTGTATAAGGCACTGTGCTGGGTCCTAGAGACACACAGCTGAATAAATCACATTGGCAAACCATCTGTAGCTTCATAATTCTCACAGCCACTTCTTTGTGAACTGGGGAAAAGCGGAGAACACCAGGATCTGGAGTAGGATGAGCGGTGGACATGAAGGCTAGCCAAAATTCTGGTTTGGAGAGAGTTTTGACTCTGGATCCAAGCTTTAAGCACTACAGCCAAAAGCCTTATTTGAAAAAGGAAGATCCCAGGTGGTCTGAGCTCACTGTTGTTGCAACCCGCCCTCCCTACTCATAGCAGCACCATCTTGAGGGTGTGGTCTGCCACGAGCCCCCACAGTAACTCCATTCTCAAAAGATGGGGAAGAATAAATGGAACAGTTCTTGGGTCCAACTGGGCCTCCTGAGTTCTTCCATGGGAATATGTGCAGTATTTGGGGGGGATTGGGGTTTGATAAAGATCACAATATTTGTGGGTTGGAAGGACCTCAGGGGCTTCAAGTGCCTACCTTAGAGACTTTTTGGGGGTCTTAGTGGGCTTATGCTAAGGTCACCCTATATCCACGCCACATACTGGAGCATCAAATATGGTCCCTGATCTCATTTATCTAACACCAAGCATTTGCTAGGCATATTGCACACATTATATTAATTAATCTTACAACAACCCTGTGAGGTGGGTAGGAGTGATATTAAAAATATTTAACAGCAGCATCTTGGGCACTGACTAGTCAGAATGGACAAACAATCAGAATAGATGCTGAACATAAACAACCAGTATAGCCTTACAGAACCACCACAGCATGAGGCAAAGAAGTAGGTGAGGGGCATAGACTAAATAGCTTCCCATTTCCCAGAAGACGAAACCAAGCTCACATCTCCTTGGGTTTCAGAGCTGTCCTGGGTCATTCTAAACCTCCCTCCTCCCTATGGATGCTTCCAACTGCTCTCTGCCTTCATTGCAGGTACGTGAAAAGCTCCCTTGCCTGCCAACACCTCTAAAGCAATGATATCTATTGCAGCTGCCCCTTTATCCCAGCAATTTCCTAAAGATGTCACTTGTTGACTTAAAATTCCTGAATGGGCCCCATTGGATTGCCAAATTATCACCTTAGTGTGGCCTTCGAGACTCTGCTCTGGCTTGAAGATTCTTTCCAATCATATTGGCAGCAATAATTACCCAACATGTCTTCCATGGCAGACACTTTTTCTTTTTATTCTTTTTATTTTTTATTGAAATATAATTGACGTATAACATTGTGTGAGTTTAAGATGTACAACTTGTTGATGTGATACATTTATATATTTGCAATACAATTACCACCATAGTGTTAGCTAACACCTCTATCATGTCACATAATTACCATTTCCTTTTTGTGTTGTGAACAATTAAGATATTTTCTCAACTAGATGAAATTTCACTCTCCCTAACAGCCCCACAGTGTAGGATAACAGTGATGTGTTTGCTTGTCAGATGGTCCCTACAATCCTTTGAGGGCAAGTGCTGTATTCTTCCTCTTCGTGTCCGTCACCTAGCCAGGCACAGTGCCTGGCATATAGTGGGTGCTCAGGAAATATTTACGTCTGCCTTCCTCCAATGAAGCCTTTTAAGTTTGAAACAAATTCACTCCATGCAGGCTGTGGAACTTTGTGGTTACACTTTTCCCAAAAAAATTTATTATGCAAAACTTAAACATACAGCAAAGTTGAAAAAGTTTTACAGTGGATACCTTGTTCCTTACTAGCTAGATTCTACCACTAATGTTTTCCTATACTGGCTTTGCACATCCCTCACCTATCCATCTGCCTATCTGTCCCTCTATCCACTGTCTTTTTTCTTTTAGAAGTTGCAGACATCAGTGCACTTCATTCCTAAGCACTTTCCACATATCTGTCCTTAACTAGTGTTCAATAT